TCAGACATATCTTCTATCTTGGAAAGATAATTTTTACTTGGAAAAAATCCGACAAAACAAAATACTTCACCTTTTATTGAGAGTACTTTCGAAAAAAAAACTGAAATTCTTTTATTCTGACAAATATGCTATTGCGTCTTTTCTTGTGACTTCAAATGCAAAAACTCGCTTATCAAGCATGTCAATATGTGTCATACAATCACGTGTGTTGATAAGAGTATGTGTATCGATGAATGGATGTATGCTTGTAGTTCTTCTCTTTACCCAAATGCACATACAAAATCGATACACGCATTTAGTAAGATGTAGCGGCATTTCCATATGTTCATAAAATTGATCTAACTAATTATTTCGAATTTAGCTGAACAATAAGTTCTTTTCACAAATGATCTTGTATTTAGAATTGGTGCGTTGACAAAAGAATAATGCATTTGAAGACTTAAATGAAGAGTAGCAGCCAATAGAGACTTACCTATAGTGGTTGGTATTAAACAGGCTCTATGAAACCCAGAGATATCATGCATATTGAATGATCTGCTAGAGGAATTAGATCAACATGAGATGGCAGTGATATACTACAAAGATACATTATGAGTATTGCTTATTGCCAAGCACTAAGTGCCTCAAATAAAAAAAAACACTGAATAAGGAGTCTTAAGCAAAATTCACTTTGTGACTTTTTTGTGTGTAGAAGTAAGCAAATCGTGGTTAGTTCTTCATTTTAGATTCTCTCACGAGTGTTCAATTGGTTTTCATTGATCTATCGACACATGTAAGTTCATTAGCTTGGCTACGATCAAAACTCTTCGATCATTAACAAACGAATCTATGTTTATTTACGACTATTAGTATTTGGTTGATATTTAGATATTAACAGATAAAACAATCTTGTTTTTCACAAATATTCACTCCATATATTCAATAACAAAAGTACCAGTGAAGATGATAAATAATTGACTGATCAACGAACACGATTTGCTACTAGTGAAGACTTTATATGTGGATGATCCGATGACATATATATATATATATCGAAATTCTAAATGAGAGGCAAGAGAACATATCAAAGGAGGTCAAAAAATGGCAGTTAAAGAAACAGAAGCTTTAATTAATCGAATTCATAGCAGAGATCCGAATTGTATCGAATGATAATTTTTTTTACTGGGGTCTAATCGAATCTGGATTTTCTTATTCGTTTGGATCTTTGGTCTGTATATCAATGAAGAAAGCACCGTCTAGTTTTTAGCTGAGATCTGGTTCGTCTATAGTATTGAAAAATGTGAGAAACTATAAAGCCTCAGATAAGCCAGGCTGAGTCGCAAAAAATCTCAATTCACAACCTGTCCTATCGCTAGCCGATTTAGTATATGATTTATTTTTCAAAAACACCTTCTTGGTGTCAATTTTCGCTTTAGGTGACTATATATATATCATATCAGTATTTCATCGAAGCTCTTCTTTTATTTCAACATTAATTGAAAATTGTCTTTTAGAAATAAAAAAACTTCAAGTTCAAAAACAAGCCGCTCCAGAAACATATTGTAAAACTGTTGTCTTTAGGAAATAGTACAAGCCGCTGATCTCATTAGTGCCTCTTGGCGCTGCCTTTCTGCCCTAAATCGATTTGCGAGTCGTTGCATTGGCTCATAGTAATGTACACGCATCCAAACCTGCTTATAAGCCATAATTTTTTTCACTTGTCGTGATTGACCACCAATAACAATGGATTGAACAACCATTAATTGACGTCTAACTTGACCTATTTCATAAAATGCATTAGTGCTATCAGGGCAGAGGTCTGGTACATTGAAAAAGACCTTGTCCTCTAATTCATCTGGTGAAAGTGTCGCGGCCAGTAGAAAAATTAGTCGATCTTCTTCATCCGACATATTTCTCCAATTTGAATAGTTCCGATATCGACGAATATCATTATCATTATACTCAATAACAGTGCATACACAATCCAAGTAGTACATGATTCGAGCAATATCAGCATTTGGTATATTGGCTGTACTACCAAATCTCTGGAAATCATATTCAGTACTTCCAAAAACTGCCATACCACTTCGATAAAGCGAACGATGAAAATTTACCAATATTGTTAAAGAAATCTTCTCCCTTCCAAACCCTTCTACCTGATTCAATGATACATATATATATATATATAGTTCTTTTTACTTCCGTCGTCAAAAAGAAAGAGAAG